CCTTAAACAGGGTCATTTGATTTGAAATAGAACAATGAATAGAAATATATAACCCTCATATCATTGGACCAAATGAAACAAACAACTTGTAAACAATCTTCCAATAGTGATTCATTTTTTTATGGTTACCAGAACTACGTTTCAATAATCTTGGCAATGGAATTTCGATTATTTAATCAATGGTTTGGACTTTGTTATTTTTAATGAAGTGTCTCCTTAATTAAAATATGGGTCTTTAATGTTGCTTGAGATTACAAATGCTGATATATTATCTGGTATATAAGTAGGTAGGGGGTGGCCAGACCAAAACATGGCATAAATCCATGAAGTCACTGACAATTGGACTGAGCCATATTGGTAGGTGTAGACTACCTGGTTGGGATTCGTGAAATGATAGCGATCGATGGTTAGAGACCTTGAATGACATGGCTGAAAATTGTTTGCAATGGCGATGATGCATCCACTCTTTGTGTTCTACCAAATTCTAATCTTCTGAATTCTTCATGTCCTTATCGTTTTTCTTTTTCCGAATTTATTTCACTGGATTAAACTCCTTGAATAACATCTCCAAATCCTAATCTTTCACAGTAATGCTTATACTCTTACTACTTCTGCCACTATGGGATTTGAATCGACAACTACATCTCTGTGCTAATTTGATATGGTAACTCGAACTGATGTACGTACGTACGAAGTTATACGTTGTGACTGACTGACTGGAAGAAAAGTAGTATCGCCTCAACCAAAATGTCGTTTTTGATGGAGTTTTGTTCTCTGAGCTGGATGGTTCGGTCGTGGAGCTTTCATCATCCTTCTGAACGACATCATCAGCACAAACTTCGGGTAGATGTGAAGCGTTTGAACCACATGTGGAGAAATTCAAATACTTCACTTCTACCCGAAGTTTGTGCTGATGATATCGTTCAGAAGGATGATGAAAGCTCCACGACCAAACCATCCAGCTTAGAGAACAAAACTCCATCAAAATCATCTACCTGAGCTACAAATCTTCTCCACCATCCCAAAATGTCGTATCAGTTCAAGAAATTACTGACTGTTAGTCTAAGCCTTGTTAATAAATGCAGACTAACAGTTTCAGATTTGTGGATTAGCTGATCAGTAGTTAGAAATATTGAGTGATATAATTCAGAAATGGTCACAGTAGTTTATATGCATACATTATTCGTCATGTTAATACCATCTGGCCGAGTTGGACTAATGCACAATTGTGCTAGGACCTACGCTGTTTATTATTAATTTTTAAGATTGTAAACAAAAGCAGGGAAAATTCATTAGTAGGGGTGAAAAGAAGGTCAAATGAGAAACAATATAAACTCTTCGATGAATTAAGACCCAGAACAATAAATATGATAAAGTATTTTCCTACAATTGGTCTTCTACGTTCACTATGATTGCATCCATATATACCTTAGGGGATTAATATCAGAACGTAAGACAAATCTTATGAGTCCCTGAAGAGTTATCCAAATCATTCAGAAAACCATAGTTAATTAACAATATCATTGACTATGACCCAACTGCTTAAATTCGTTCACCCTCTAAATGATAAACAAGAAATGATGACGGATGCACACTACTGATCAAGATTTGGTTTAACTTTTTGAGAAAATAAACAATGCAATTAATAGAGGTTTGAACTAAAAGCCTTAGAGGAAGTAAAAGTTGACAAGGAAGAATATGATCAATCCAACAGTCTGTTTTCATTTTCCTTTGAGAATTCACCTCAAGGAAGGGAACTCCTGGTCGTTGTAAATTGCTGGGGGTGGAATGTGATTGTTGATAGGCAAGACACGGCCGAAACCACGACCTCTCTCGTCACTCCTTATCTGACGCCTTCCTCGACTCCTACGTTCACTTATTGGTATAATTTTCTGAAAAATATAGAATTCCGATCATTTTAATCACTCTCCATTATTTAATTATCATAAACTAGGATTCATTAAAGTAACATTTTCAATCCAGAAAATCACTTAGTTATTATGTTTAAGAAATTTGCAATTACTTTTACTGATCACTTTTAGAATTCACAATAGAAAATTATCTAAGAGTGAATGACAAATTTGAAGTATACTTCCAATGTGGTGTATGCTACTGATGTCAACAGATATAAGTAGTATGTATCGTCGATCGAAAGTGAAATGCTTGGAGGCAGAAGGTTAAGAAGATCGAAAAGAAGAGGACAATAAAAGTGAATTATTGCTGTGGAAATGAAGGAACATTGAAGTCTGAGATGATTAATTGACATTTGTAAATGGAACATTCAAGTTTGAGATAATTGATTGACATCTTGCAAATTAAGTATTTACTGTATGGTTATCAAATTTTACTTAGGGGTTCTGTAAATTCGTGTTCAAAAACACATTTGATCGTCCCTACTTATGTTCTCGTTCACTACAATTACATCTGAGGATTACCCCGATAGTTATTTAATATGTTTCCCTTGTTTATCATAATCATAAGTTGGTCAACCAGACTTTTATTAGAACTATACAGATGAAACAAGACTGAAAAATTGATGAAATTCTTCACAGAAATCGTCTGAAAAAAAAACACATCTTTCCACGGACTAGATACCTATATGCATGTTGATATATTAAGCTACTACACATATGACTTACATGATCTCATTCTTGAAACTACTGATAATAATAAAATAACATTTATGGTTGAGAAATAACGGCTATCCAGATAATTTTGTCACAAAATTCCTGTTAGAAGTTACTAAACAAAGAAGAAACTGTGACTCGATCAGTAAAATAACCTGTATCTGAAACTGAACTTTAAAGGGGACATAGCGGGTGATATTTTAACAAGACTCAAAATGTCTGTTGAAAGGATGTTTCACATAGCCAAGTTACATTTAATTTTCTCAACTAAACCAGTACGTATATAAAAAGTCAAGGATAGGCCGTCGATGATGAACTCCCCCCATGTACACATACCAATTTAAGTGCTCCTGTGGAGCAAGTTACATAGGCCGCACCCAGAGGGATTTATCCTTGCGTGTTCGTGAACATGTACCAACATGGTTGGGAAGGGGAGCAACTGAATCGATTGACAGTACCATTCTTCCTCACTTGGTAGATAGTCAACATCGTATTAAAATACAGGAAGCCTTCTCTGTTTTATATCAAGTTCCAAAGAATCTACCTCAAGGAACAATATTACGGCTACTATACATAGCCGAAGCCATCTGGATCAACTCCAGAGAACCGAACTTATGTATCCAGGAAAGGTATATCCAGCCTCTATATAAACCTTTACCTACAACTGCATCACAGGATACCTAAACGGGATATTATAAATCTCTTACCCCCTCCCAATATTTTTGGTCACATCTTTCTTGATTTTCATATTCACCTTTCCAAATTCACATGGATTCTTTTTAATAATAGTAACCTTAATAAAACCCCTTATTGAATACTATATTCACACAACGATATTATTATCATTATTACCTCCATTAACAGAATGGAATTCTCCCACTATGCATTTTATTCACACGATCTTTTTTCAATTTTGTTATATTTCTATCGTACTGATTATGAAGTTATTGAAAACAGTCGTTCGCTCAAATTTTCCTAATTTTCGAATGGGGGGTTTAGACTGAGAAAAAAACCAAAATGAAAATGCACAGCTGAATTTTATCGAGCTGTATCAATTTAACTTCGGACTAAGGACTTTAAGATCATTCCCCTTAATTTATAAACTATGTATGTTGTGGAAAAGCTAGTTATATTATCCAGATCTCCCAAAACTTTGATGAGGTGGCTTTCAAATCACATTGCCTTCTTGAAAACTTTTACGATTATTATTTTCAGTAAACAAACACAATACACACATTGCACGTCTCAGGTATTGTTAAAAGTATTAGAGTAGTTGTCTCTTCCCGGGTGTCCACACTGTGGAAGAACACTTCTTCTTGAGGGAACTAAAAAGGCGGCCGGATTAGTGGTGGTCTTAGTAACCTAGGAGCTTGACTGCAGAGAAAAAAGAATAACTGACTTAGCTTGGTCACGCACGTCATTCTTATGCGACGTTTTTGACGTGTTAGCTTCGTACTTCAAAAGACCTTACAAAAGGAGATGGAAATCCGTAGGGTAATGTGAGGTGTGACATTTTCAGGGAAATACCTTATAGCTGTCATACCTCTCTAGTCAGCAGTACAACTTCGCCCTCGGAATGGTAGTTGATGCTTTTATTCTTATCGTTTTCCAAACGACCTGCCTGGTATGGTAGGACCTCAAGGGACATGTGTAGCAGCTAACATAGCTCGACTGAGTCGTCAAGACAGGTAAGCCCGACCACCACGTCAAGGTAACAGCTACGGTTTCATCTCTCTGTGCTAATCAGGTGCGGCAACTTAAACCGATGTATATACGTACCGGATTGTACTTTGTGACTGAATGATTGTTGCACATAATCAAGGAAATATCTAAAAAGGCATCCAACGACATCTGTAAAAGTCTTCCAAGAATCTTATGTAATACTGCATTTATCAAAGTGGGTGCAACATCCACTTTCTCATTCATCAACATAAACTAATAGTGAATACTTCTAAATAAGGTATCGACGCAGTTTTATAGAAGTGAATCATCCACTGAGTATTCAAATCTGTGTTATGTATTTACATGTTACCACACATAAATATCTCAACTTAGTTCAAACCTTTGGGTTTTAGCCATCCCCTTACAGGAATATCACTAAATATGAAACATTGATCCATGAAATTTTATGAATTACCCTAAAACACTTATCATTATTTATTTTTCAAAGTCTTCTTTCTTGTTCAGCTAATTAATTATAGTGAATACCTAATAGCCTAATTTTACAACCTGGTACGATCGGTAAAGATTAGAATCATTCAGCTTTGACCAATCGAAGCATTTTTCACAGATTTGTTAATTTTCGAGGAGTGTATAGATCTTTGTTTTTCCCGCAACATCAGATATTCATTAGTTAAAACAAAAATCATCAATAATGTGTAGATGGGAATTCATTACAATAATAAAGAACATTATTTAAACTAATTCTAGTATGAAAACCACAGGCATATAAAAAGTTGAAATTTTTCCAATAAATGGACAAAAGAATGATACAAAATCGAAATGTAAAATACAAGCAACTCTTCGGTAAATATAAAACTCTTACTTAATATAACGGAATAGTAAACACAAAGACAAAAAATTTCGAAACATCATTGCTTTAATGATACACATAATAAGCATGTAAATGTAATCAACGTACTGACGAACAGGAATCATAGAAAGTGATATGTTTTTTTAAACAAAAAATAATAGATATGTGACTTGTCATATTTTTTAATATGTTTAGTTAAAATGCAAATACAAATCTGATATAAGCGTTACGATATCATGAGGTAAACATCAGGATCATGACATAAATCAATCCATTATAGGAAAACCATATGCATTTTGTTTGGGTGCGCTTAAAATCCTTATCTTACATCCATGTAATATTTTGTCCTGTGACTAGATTTATATTTTTTCCAAAAAGGCTGTCAGCTATTTCTATTTGACTGATAAACAGAGTTCTGAACCATTATAGAACTTGAATTACTGCTGGATATAGATTCTAATTCATCATGATGGTGGCCGGAGATGGCAGCGGAAGAGGAAGTTTTCCTCGTCGTCATTCCTTCTGATGTATGTTGCCATACTCCTTCCATATTGCTCCTGTCATATTCCATTACAGGATTTCCAACAACAGTAGTATATGCAACATATAATGTGTAACCAAAATCGACAAAAAAAGTGACCACCAGTAAAATAAATGTTACGATTAAATAAACACGAGATGTAGTCAGTTGTAAATTTAACGACTTAATGATAAGATCTAAACAACCTGAAGTATAAATATGTCGATTATCTGAAATATTATCAGTGAAATAACATGAAATCGGTAGTACAGTTTCTGCTTTACTCTGTACATCTCTTTGTCCATATGAACTCCAATCTGTGTAATTGATCTGACCACAACACTGGAAAGTCTTTTGTATTACGTCCCAACACTTCAGTGCATTGTTAGAACTCTTGGCACTAAAGTAGCTTACACGAGCCTCTACAAATGTGCTGGCCATCTCTGAGTTAAACAATGTATCCATTTCAGATAAAAAGTTCCCTACCAATATCAAACTTAATATTAAACCAACTGATAAAATTCCAAGAAATATGGAACCAAACCATAACCATCCAATTCTGAAGTGACAACAGTCGCATATCCCTGAGGACGTATCAAGTGTATCATCACTTGCATAAGGTGGATGTGAAAAATAAGAAGGTCCATAAGCTTGACCACAATGGACACCAACAGCTGTTGTACAAGAATCAAATGGATTATCCGATGAATAAACTGGTTGATTAACTTGAACTCCAGATTGACTTGAATTTGTAACGCTATCAACCGATTTTGAAGGACAAAGAAATGTGAACAGAAACCAGATGAAGAAAATTATAGCTAATATGATTTGTAGAATAGAAAGACCAAGAGAAAGCCAGAACACAGTGTATATAGCATGAAGTATAGGACAATTTCGTATAGGTTGACTAATAATCGTACTGAATAAAACCAGTCCGACAATTCCTGTGCATAAAAGTGTGAGGATAAAGCATCCATGTAACGCCTTAAGAATGTGAAGGCGCTGAGTCAAACTCAATCCTTGCATGTATCTGAGCTATCCTAGAGATTGACAACGAACAAAAGAAAAACAGGAATTTTATAAATAAATGTATTTATTATATGTCATAGGAAGTACTAACAGACCATTTTTAAAATACGTATTACCACTGATTAACCTTGGCATTTAGTCACAAACGATTGAGGGAATGATAATTAATTTTATGTGTAGTAACCATACAAGGATTTTTGTACTAATGTTACTCATGTCCAAAGACTGCTGGTGCAAAAGTTTGGAAGAAAGCAAGGGAGACTCAAGTCAAGACATGGTATCAGTCCATGAAACCCACTGACTCTTGGTCATGGTAGTACTTGGAGATTTAGATCATTCGGTTAGGATGAGGGTGATAACCACCATCAGCGGTAGGAGGGCTTGCCTAATATGGCTCAAAACCGCTTACAACCGCACAAATTTGTCCAATCTTCGTCTTCCTCTCAACCTTGAATTTCAACATTCCTTGATTATTTTTAGTGTTATTTTTATCACAATTACTTTGACTCTTTTGCTATTAATCTTGTTATCTTCATCTGTTCACTGTAACAAGGCATGGAAACTTGAGCCAATGAATTTCTGCGGCACATTCTACGTTGATTGTGTCAGCCAGTCGTAGGGCGCGACAATAAGTTCGTTGTACCAAGTTATCGAATCACATTATTGCGATAAGATGATGAATAGGAAACGAGTCAAAATGAGTGTGTCGATGATAGGAAGTAAAACATATCAATACGATTATGTTTTCAGAAGCAACGGAAAAATATATGCGCATTGCATGCAGTTTATACCCATATTATATGCATTAGACGCCACCAAATAGTTAACTGGATAATCACTAAATGGAAACAGTTGCCTTCTTATTCAAAACAAATGCGTTTTCATGTGTGGGTGAAAACCAACAGACAACCCTTTGAATTTGGTCACGTTTGACTCATCAATAAGTCTCCTTATCACTTTGCAATAAGTCTAGTATGTTAACGTTTAGAAAAACTCTACTTTAAGCCACACACTTCTGTGAATCTTCTTTAAATACCACCACGAAATATGCAAATTCTGAGCAGGTTGACATTTTTATTGCGTGATGTTTGACTGCATTACTGAACGTTAAGCTGTCTCAAAATGTTGAAATAGTGTAATCAGGAAATGCTGAAATCATGCTAGCATGGTTCGAGCTAAATTTAGCTTAAATGGTCATCCAAAATTAACGCCGTACACAGATTATGTTGACCATTTAGAACCATTATAAACGATATTAAGACATGACGCACGTTACACTAATTTAACAAGCTCCAGAATTGTTATGTATTGATGAAAAACGACCCCTACCTTTAACGAACATTATTTCCAAGGTCATTGACTCACATTTGCAATAGCCGCTGTGTATATGAGAGCATGGTGATTTTGAGCAACGTCCAGTTACAGAGAACAAATCTGGATATAAAGAAAAACATAGCCTTTACCAAATCTTAAGTTTTTGTTAAGTTTTTGGAATTTCATCTATACATTGGACTCTATTTTAATTATTGAGGATGCAGAAGCAGCAAATTGTTCCCTTTGTACCCCAAATTGAAGTACTTATCATGCACCAAAACTTAAAGTTTGCTATGCAGAGTTAGCAGATAGTTTAGTCCTCAGAAACTGAGTCTAAAAAGTTGAAGAAAGTTTCTCGACCGAGAAAAGATATGAATTTTTCTTATTTCTTCTCAGAAGCTAAATCGCAAAAGCAACTTAGTTAGCAGTGCAACGTGGAGTGACACTTGTAAGTGTTAATTCACTGGAGTTAAACAGAAGTGATGTAATCACTTGGATTACATAACCCAACGCTGAATTTGCGCTGTTTGATGTTTGCCTAGTATACTTAGAAAAGAGTTTTCTAAAACGGTCTCTTTCTAAGAATGATTTACTACTAGGACATATTTAGAGACTTTTAGGGTGGTGGTGATTATCAGTGATCTAGCACATCAAGGACACATCACGTCTACTCCCACGATGGACTACGTGTGGATTCATAGCTTTCGAGAGACCTAAATAATGTTTGTTTCCCATTCTGAGCACCCTTTAGTTTGCTCTACTTTGAACACGTCGAAAGAAAGCGTTGTTTTTTGTGATAAAAGGACATGGAGCAAACATTTGTTCCAGACGAATTCCGAGGTGAACAATAAAGAAGTCTCAGGCGAATATGGAGTCAGATTTCATAAATTTCTGGAGAGAATCCCCATCAGTGAGCACGTTTATTTGGTTGTAACTGATTCACTAAAAGAAAAATCTCGACTGATACAAAGAGTGATGTCTAGTTCCTATCCAGTAGTGGAAGGTATTTTTGTGGGACCTCCCAGAAAATGCAAGGTTAACGGAGCACCAATATTGCTCATCATCAACATTCCACTGACATTCTGCCCATATTAAAGCCGAAAGAATGATCCTACGTAGATAGTTCTGAAAAGTCAGGATATCATCGGAGACGAGTGTCAGAGTGAATTCCGCCTGTAGCTCTTCTAGAGTTACTGCCGGTCCCAAGCCCACACAAAGGAGGAGGGTTGGACATGGGGTTAGTGACCCCATCCCGTAGAAAACTAACTCGCCAAAGACCTCTAAGCAGAAAAAATAACTCAAACCACTTAAACTCGGCTTCCAAGTTGAAGGAAGAATTATGACGCCTCATTATGAAAGCCAAGACCCTTCGGAAGTAACGAGATCGATACTGTTTTTACAACCACAACAGCACTCTTTATAGGTACATGGAACGTCCGGACAATGTGGGAGACAGAGAAGACTAGTCACATAGCAATGAAAATGAAAAAATACATGTTGGCAGTACTTGGAATCAGCGAAACCCATTGGACACGAGCTGGACAATAAAGGTTAGGTACGGGAGAGATGCTGCTCTACTCCAGTTACGAAGAAAAACATGCTCCACACGCTCAGGGATTTGCTCTAACGCTGTTCAGAGAAGCACGAAATGCACTTGTAGGATGGGAATCTCATGTAACCAGAATTATCAAAGCATCATTGAAAACAAAGGAGGGGATCACAATGAATGTTATCGAATGTTATGCACCTACCAGTGGTAGCAGCGACGACGATAAAGATTAGTCCTACTCGAGACTGCAATCACGCATAGCGAAGTGCTCAAGGAAGGACCTCAGAGTACTGATGGGAGATCTAAGCGTCAAAGTTGGAGTGGACAACACGGGATATGAAGATATAATTGGACGACATGAACTAAGAGAGAAAAATAAAAATGAGGAGAGATTCGCAAATCTGTGTGCATTCAACGAATTGTTTATAGGCGGCACAATGTTTCCACACAAACGCATGCACAAAGCTACATGGATCTCACCGGACCACACCCTAGCGAGCCAGATAGATTATATTTGTATCAACAAAAAGTTCCGAAGGACAATGGTAGATGTGAGAAGCAGGAGAGGAGCTGACACAGCTTCAGATCACCATCTGGTTGTGGCCAAGATGAAACCGAAGCTAAAGAAACACTGGAAAACTGGGCAAATAGCATTACAAAGGTTCAATACAGCCTTCCTCCCAGATCCTAACAAGTTCAATGAATTCAAGATAACTCTCCACAACAGGTTCCAAGCTTTACAGGATCTACTGAAAGAACAAGAAACTGTGATGGAGGACAACTGGAAAGGGGTCAAAGAAGCACTAACTTCAACGTATCGTGAGTTTCTGGTTCCTAAGAAGCATCATCACAAGGATTGGATCGCTATCAAAACCGTAGACAAGATTCGGAAAAGGGAGAACAACAAGACAGCTATTAAGAACAGCCGAACAGAAGCAGCGAAAGTTAAGGCACAGACTGAATACACAGAGGCAAACAAGAAAGTGAAGAGGAGCATTAGAACCGACAAGCACAAATATGTGGAAGAGCCGACAACTACAGCAGAAAAAGCCGCAAGAAAATGGGATATGAAAAAACTATATGACATGATAAAGAAACTGACAGGGAAATATAGTAAACAAGGGAGACTGGTCAAGGACAACGAAGGGAAGACAATCGCGGAGATTCAAGAACAGAGGAAAAGATTGGCGGAATACTTCGAAGAACTGCTAGATAGACCAGCTCCATCGCATCCACCGGACATCGAAGCAGCACACACTGACCTTCCTATACCTGTCACTCCACCAACGATGAAAGAAGTCAAGATGGTCATCAGGCAAATCAAGAGCGGGAAAGCGGCAGGAGCTGACAATATATCAGCTGAAGCACTGAAGTTAAACATTGAAGTAACTGCAAACATGCTTTTCCTGATATTCAAGAAGATTTGGGAAGAGGAACAGGTGCCAACAGAGTTCCTCAGAAGACTGTCAACATTATCCGGATCTCACACAATGGACTACAGTGCAAAGTCATGCATGAAGGACAGCTGACAGATGCATTTCCAGTAAGGACCGGAGTCAGACAAGGCTGTTTACACTCCCCCTCCCTCTTTCTTCTGGTGATTGACTGGATTATGAAGACTTAGACATCTGAGGGGAAGCACGGAATACCATGGACATCTCAGAAACAATTAGACGATTTGGACTTTGCAGATGACGTAGCCCTCTTATCTCATACACACGAACAAATACAGACGAAGACAGCGAATGTAGCAGCAGTCTCTGCATCAATAGGCCTCAACATACACAAAGATTCTCAAATACAACACAGAGAACGCCAGCACAATAACTCTTGATGGAAAAACTCTGGAAGAGGTGGAAACATTCACGTACCTGGGAAGCATCATTGGTGAACAGATATTCTTGCATATTGGATAGCTGCTGAAATTGTTGTGGCCTTATAAAAGGCCGTCGCCAATTTGTTACAACTATAAAATAAGGAGGCTGTATCTAATACGTCATGATTTCATGTCCTGCTTTTATCACGTGAATTATCCACCACGAGGAGTAACAGACCTCGGTAAGTATGTAAGCATCATAGTGAGGGTCCTAAGCTTGATGAACGTCTTTAATATGCACCAAAAAGGTTGCCTCAAAGATCGAAGTTTGTGACATTCTACTCATTATTGAGAATCAGTCAGAAGAAACAAAACGAACCCTGATAACCTTTAACCTCCGTCTTAGATAACATAATAGTTAATTCTTCAGACACACACCTAGACCTGCGAAGCTCAGCTTCCGGGATAGAAAACATTGACCGATTACACTGAGTTCTGGTAGTAACTCCTGAGTGCTGGTGTGAACGGGACGACCGTTCTACTTAGTAAGTCCATCCGTTGCGAGCAGACAATAGGCTTTTATTATAAGGTCTACTAGGTATGTTGTGATCAGGCGATTACACATTTGTTGATAAGGTACTTCGAAAAAGACTCATTGAAAACCCTTCCTAAGTACTAGCAGCCCACCTCTAATAATATAACTTACTCGTAGGGATAAATAATACAAATTCCACTTTATGTATCACTGCTCGTTCCATATTTCTCGTTGTCAGGATCTTCTTGTATGACGAATTATACTGAACGAGGAATTCTCATTACTTTTGTTCTTCACTTTGAACCATAAGTATGTCAATTAAATAGATGGCGGACCTTGTTTGTATAAATCGTTGTTGAACACTTTGATAGTCAATAGGTGACACAATCCACTTTTGGAAGGAAAATCATCAAGAATACTTGGGAACTGGGTTGTAGTCTCACTAAATTGGAGGTTCACTGGCAGTCTGTTACATATGTTTGAGTAGCGAATAACGAAAACATTCTGGCTTAAATTTGTATGGGTCTTTGGAATCGCTGGAATATTATCCTTATTGCATAGACTTTGGGATGGTATCGTAGAGTATGAAGGGGTAGATACCGAAGAGTAAGAAATACCGTGAAGAAGCTGGTAGAGAAAGATAAGGTTTAATTTGATACGCCTGATCCAGTGAGGTTCTAATTTGAGTTGTTGACATCTTTGGTGATAGTATTTGTTGTCAGAATACCCGAAGCCAGCCTTGGTGAACCTTCTTTGAACACCTTCAACTTGAATCCGGTCATTACGTCTGCAATTACTGTAAACTAAAATACCATATTCAAGACATGGTAAGATACATTTTCTGTATGATAATAATCTCGATTCGATATTATTGGAGTTAATCATCATGAATCCAATGAACTTTCTAGCTTTGGATACTTGAGATGCAATGTGCTCAGAAAAGTTCAAACTGTTGCTATATTTTAAACCCAAGTAACGAACAGTCTTGAGAGGTTTTAGTGTATGATTGTGTATGGCCAGATTTAGGTTAAGGCAGAGGCCAATGTGAATAAATCCACTTTTGTCAACATTAAGTGACAAGTTCCACGAAATAGTCCATTCGTACAGCTTCTTTATTTCTTCTAGGATTACCGCTGAAATATAGCTTTCTTTGGTGGGAGAAAAGGATAAATAAACCACTCTTAGGTCATCGGCAAAAATGAAAGGTGTACCATATTGGAAGAGGAAACATACGT